AGGAATAGGGATAGAGAGGGTTCCTTCTTCCCAGCTACAGCACTTACTAGACTTTCCTGGCCTACCAGATATCCTTCATCCCATCAGGAGGGAAGAAACCTCAGTAATTAGTAATTTGGGTTTTATTATTATCATCATAATTACTGTTGTAATTATTATTATCACTTATAGCCCACTCTGAGGGGGGCAAAGCACCTGCTGCTTCATGAGGGGTTCAGGAGTGAAGACTGAGGTTCTCACACGTGGTAAAGCCCCGTGTCTGCAGCAGTGACATGGGAGCCTGGGACAGGACTGCAGAGGTGAGACTTGTCAGGCCCTGTAACTCTTAAGAAGGAGGTTTTTAACTTACCTTTTCTTCCAAAAAGCCTTTGTTTTTTGCTGTGACCCACCCCCCCAGCTTGGTTTTTATGCCAGAAAAGGCAGCAGCTCCAGGACAGCAGGTGGGGCAAAGGCCCCAGTGCACCCCATGAAAGAAAGGAGACTCTGTGAGCAAATAATCACTAGCTGAGGAAGTTGTGTTACCATTTGTAAATTAAGTGTTCTTCTTTTTTATTCAGATTGCTGGAAAGCATTTTTTTTAATCGTGATGTGATGGATAATGACTTTTTCTTTTTTTTTTTTCCTTTTTTTTTTTTACAATATAAAGAAGCTAAGGTACCACCAAGCCAGTCTGTAAGAAAAACGGCAGCACGTGCAACGTTTAACCAAAAAAAAAGGGGGGGGCAGGGGGGGAGAGAGAGAGAAAAGTACCACATGTGATTGTTGTTCACAACTGTACAAGTCACAGGAGGTCACCCCCAGGAGTTACCATCTTGTTCACAGTAGTAAAAAAGAAACTCTACCCATTGTTTTTAGCCTGAAACCCCCAGGACCCTTCCCCCTCCTCTGGGAACACACAGGTATCTGTGTCTCATGGTCCACAGCAGGCCAGAATGTGCAACTACATCCACCTCTGAAACAGGGCTTTGAAAAGAATGAAAAACAACCCTACAAACAGAAAAAAAATCAATCACAAACCACCCACCTCCCAGCTGTAGAAATGAGCCTGTTGTACACATGAAGGAGGGAGGGGGGGCCATGCTGGAGTGAGGCCTGTGACCCTGCCCCCCGCCGGTGCACACGCCTTTATTCTGCTCTTTAAACCAAAATATCATGGAAAACAACAAATGAAACCAACCAGCTCTGCGGGGCTGGAGCCTGGACGGAGTCCATCCTGTGTGTGCTGCAGGGGACAAGGGGCCAGGGGAGGGGCCAGGCCCTGGGGACAGGCTGAGCTGCCTGTACCACCCGCTCGCAGGTAAACATGGACCCGAACTTGCCTTTTTATTATTACCTTTTTTTTTTATCTTTTTCTTTTTGTCTGTCTTTGGTATTGTTTTTAAAAGTCGCTAGAGATGCATAGACACCTGAATGAGGAACTGAGTACAGTCTCCAGGGAGGAGGAGCTATTTGGGAAGGTTGTTTTCATTTTTTTTCATAGGCTTTATGTTTTTTTTGCTCAGAGGTGCCAAGTACCGTGGGGAGGAGCAGAGCCCCTGCCCCTTCCCTGCTTGGAGTCATGCCCAGAAGTTGCTGAAAGCCAGGATTTCTTTGAAGGCAAAGAAATGTGGTCATTCCCTGTGTCCATGGCTCTCCAAGGAGGGGTGTGACACGGGCTGGGAATGCTGCTGCCACCCTCCATTTTCTTTCTCTTCACTCGCGTTGTCTCGGTACATCTTTGGATAGTTTGTCTTTCCTTCCCTTTTTTTTTTTTCTAACAGTCTGAAAAACTTCTGTGGCGCCGTTGGGTTTTGTTTTTCAACAAAAAAAAGCAAATGCATCCAAAAGAAGAATTAAACCCCTCCCTTCCTCACTCCTGTGGCTCACGTGGCTGTGGGAGGCTCTGCTGGTCTCTCCAAAGGCTGTTCCCTTCTGCGTGTCCGCCTGGCCCCAGTCCCAGAAGGCTCAGGAGGTGTCCTGCAGGTTAGGATGGAGGTTTGGGGGTGTCACTGATGCCCGTGAGGAGGGAAGAGTTCCCGTTCTCCTGCTTGGGGGAGGCTCGGCTGGTGGGCAGGGCGCTGCTGAACGGGGAGGCCACGCTGCCCGTGGAGGAGGGACGCAGCTCCGCCGGGGGCAGCTCTCGCTCCGGGGGCCGCAGCCCGGGAGGCTGCAGAGGGAAGGCCATGGGGAAACCTGCCATGTAGAGAACTCTGCCCACTCTCTTGGCGACCTGTTCAAAAGGTTAAGAGGAAAAAAAAAAGAAGAAATCAATGCTGGAGCAAAAGGGATGAGGATGTGCACAAACCCACCGGAGCTGTTCTCTTGCAGCAACTCCAGGTTCTTGTGCGCCAAGTGAAAAAGCAGAAGAGCAACCACCCCCAGGCCACCAAAAACAAAGCCCGTGGTGACTTACCAGAGGGTAACAGGCAAGGGTTCCTCCTCTCCTTTCTCCTAAAGGAAGTGCTCCCTAAATCCATGCTCCCTGGCTGGACAATCTGCTAAAGCTCACCAGCTAAGCCAGCCTAGGTGCTGTGTTGCAGGACCCGACACCAGCTCCACTGCTGAGAAGCAGGAGCTGCTCTTAACAGGAGGGGTGAGGGAGGAAATAAACCTGTGGCTACAGGGTGGCTGCTGTTACTGTAAGTACAGGAAACTGAAAGGCTTCTGCAGCACTAAGGCCAAGTCCTGAAGCAGGTCTGGCCTCCCAGCAAGGCCAAAGGCCCCAGAGCTCCCCAGCACCTCGGCAGCTGGTTCCCATTTCAGGCTGAACAAACCCACAGACAACTGCAGCTTTATTCTGTGAGCAACATCAGGGCTTTGCTCCCCCCCCTTAGGCCCCCTCCCCAACCATGGCTTATTATAGAACTATTGATTAACTCAAAGCAGGGGTTTTCTGCTTTCAGCCCATACCTCATACTGCCCCCCCCCAAAATCCAAGCTCAGAATGTCTGAGCTATTTTGGCATTCTGTTTTTTTTAAGAAACATAAGAGTTTTATTTCCTACCAAATTGACCCACAGGGAACAATTGCCCACAGAACCTTTTTATTAGACCCCTCATAAACAGTGAGGGCTGTAAGGAAAGCAGTAAAGTTGCTCTTATTGTTTTACCATAACAAATGTATGGCTGTGGGTTGGGGAACCTACCCCAGCAGAGTGACTGACTGTGCACATGCACGTTCCTGTCATCAGCATTTGCATGACACAATCCCCCAGGGAATACAGCAGAACAGCCTGTTCTTGGCATGTGTCAGAAGCTGTTTTCTAATCATTAAATGGCAGGGGGGGACCCAACAACCTCATGGAGATGTTCTTTGAGTTTTTAAGTCCAAACAAGAGGAAGGGGGGGAGGCAGGGGGTGAAGGTGACTGAAATGGAAGTCACCATGACTTCCAGGTAGAGCAGAGCAAAGCCATATTGGGAACACAGACCTCCACAGAGACTTGGGAGTCAAGTTTTTGAGGGGAAAAAAGGTATTTTGAGAAGACACATCACTCTAAGGGCACAACAGCAAACCAGGCTGTTGAGGAGAAAACAGTGTCAAGAAAGAACCTGAGTAAATCAAGAAACATAAAATTTCTACTTCTAGTGAAAATACAAATTAATAGAACAAGGAGGGGAGGGGGCACAGCCCATCAGCAGGAGCAGTAAGCTATGACTAGCAAGACAGAAACTGTTGCAGAAGTCTATTACTAGCACAGCAGAGAAAGGGAAGAGCTGGTCCATTACTCACTGGGGAGGGAAAGTCATCAACAGCTGATGCTGAGATGTGTTAAATGCATTTGTACTTCAGGCCTCACTAAAAGAGCCAACTAGTTACAAAGACAACAGCAAAAGGACTTGTTTCCAGTCTAGAACAACAACAGAACTGGTTCCCAAGATGGCTTTGCCCAGTCCTCTAGGTACTTTGGAATTACTGTTTTCATGTTCAACTGATTTGAAACCATCTACCTTGCCTCACCTGTTTACAGCTTTTCTTCTTTCCTTGGTAGTTGTAGGAACAGCCTGTCTCTTTTCCAGTAGGAGCTGGTCCATTTTAGGAGTCTCCTGCTGGATCCCTGCTATCCTCTCCCCATCACCCGTCCTGAACTTTTGCTTCTGCCCTTGCACACCAAAACCACAGTGTTTTCTTCCTGCAGGAGTCAGGTGACTGGCTCCAGGTGAGGGTACAGAACACTTTGGAGTGTTTCAAGCTTTCTTGAAACCAGAATTACTAATAAATACATAATTATTACTTTATAAATTCTATTCAATAAACCTGGCCTAGTGACAGCCCTGTTCCAGCCTAGGGATCACTTCACAGGATTCCACTTATCCTACAGAAGAAATTGTCCTACCTGTGACCTTATCTTCAGTGCTGGCCCGAGCTTCAGCCCCATGTTGTTCAGTAAGTGCTCTTCTGTCAGGAGGGGCAGGGTCTCCCCATCAATCGCCTGCTCTCGGAATACCTGGAAGGAACCAGAACACAGGTCCAGGCTTGGAGATGCCAGTGACACCCTTGATGTGCTCATCTTGCTGCTGCACAGACAGGGGCCCACCTTGGAGCCTGGCTAGGGCTGCTAGAGCCAAGGCAGCTGAGCTGCTGCAAGGGATTTTTATTGCTGGACTCCATCAGCAAAGCTGCTCATGGCTGCAGCACGTTTGTGCTCTTTCACCTAGGAAAACCTACTATACCAATTTCTTTTCCTTCCTCTGGAGCCAATGTGGCTGGAAGCCAAAAGCCTCCCTTTGCTGGGCACTAAAACCATCCACAAAGAGCCTTAAAGCTTGAGAAAAGCATCTCCCTTGGGTGTCCCACAGGCCTGGGTCCACTGCAGGGACAAAGCTGAATATTGTCAAGGGCTGAAATGGGGAGTGGAAGCTTTTGTTTCTGCTTGTTTGTCTGAAACATGTTTCTAAATGCACAGCACACCACCAAACTTGCTGGCTTTTCCTGGCAGGAAAAGCCTGCAGACCAGTGCCAGACCTCCCCAGCAGCTGCGGTTTTGGAGAACACAGACAGCTCTGCAGTTTGGAGCCCTGGAGCTGGGTCACCCTTGAACACTGGCATTTTCACACAGTAAAAAAACCTGTTAAGTGTATAACCGGAGGGCATAAAAACACACCATCCCTCAAGGCAGGCACCCCCCTACATAATGCAACAGGAGGCTGTTTACAGCAGCTCCCATTATCGTAAAACATTTTGTTTGCAATGCACTGAGAAGATTGCTGACCCTTTGTCTCAGAGAGCTATCGATTTCTTCCCCACTGGTAAACCAGGAGCTGGCATGGAAGGTGTAAATGGCTGATCCTTCTGCGAGGTGGCTGTGTTAACGATTTCTGCACATTTCCTACTGGCCTAATTCGGAAGGTTCCAGGCAGCTCTGATCTTCATTCTCCAGCTCAGGAATGCAGACAAACTGCAATACTACCAGTGCAAGAGCAGGCTGGTTGGGGTGGGGGGGAGCAGAGAACCTGATTAGCTCTGGATTTTTATTTTAGAGTCTTTTGCTTGAGATCTCTTCAACGGATAGTGCACCTACCCTTGCAGACCTGCTGCTTCCCCCTCCCATCAATGCCCATCCATCCCCCAGCTTTTGTTAATCAGTGCCCTTCCCCCCCTCTGTCCACTACCAGAAACAGACCCTTCTCCCTGTCACACACCCAGTCACCCTGATCCACTCCCAAACCTCTGACATTCCTCCTGGAGAACATGACATGTACCCCACCTCCCTAACAAACATTCTCCTTCCTAAATATGGTCTCTCCCACATATTCAACAGCTGTTTGCTCCAACAAAGCACTGGTTTTACTGGTGGTTTTAGCAAGCATGTTGTGATGGGATTAAAACATCGTGGTTAGGGGGCAAGGAAGGACAGACTGGGGGTTGAAAGCACAATATCCCATCACCTGAGCAAGGGGAAGGTGTGGTGCAATTTCAGGTTTCCATAAAGCAAAGCCTGACTCCCAGCTTCCCTCTGGGGGATGCAAAGCCCTCACCTTCCCCCAGTGGCACGCTACCAAACCAGTGTAACCTCCAGGGACTCACTAGTCCCAGCAGCAGTGGGTGCTGAGCTTTACTCCTCCCAAAATGGCTGGGGGCAGGAAAGAGTTCTGGGAGGACACCTGCCTAATGCAATGAGCAGAGGGAGAGACAGCAAGGGCCTGAGGGAGGAGGCAGGTTTTTAGAAATCTACTTTCAGCCAGGCTGGATGCCCAAGCACAGCTTTTCACTCCTCAGCTGTCAGTCAGGGAAGCTCTGCTCTTGAAGCAGCATGTCCGGAAAGCTCAATTCCCACTGCCCTTTCTCCCTTTCAAGACCTCTTCTCAGCCTAGTATGTCTCTCTGCTCAAAGGCTGGATTGTCCTGAACTTTGGCCCTTTGCCTCTCTATCTCTGCTGCTCGCAGCCCCTCCCTTCCAAGCACCCTCTATCCTCCTCACAAGGCTGTCCCAGACAGCTCAGGAATCTGTGCCTGCGCAGTTGGCGCGCTCTCTCAATGGGGCATTTATGACAGGCTCCAGCAGATGCAGAAGCCAAAAACACAGGGTTGTTTTTTGTATTGCACCTCACGACCTCCCACTGAGCAGGCTTTATAAGCACCTCTTACCAATGGATGTGTCAACTCTGCTATCACGAGCTTCAAAATCACAGTCACCATCACTCTACAGAGTAAGCATGGAGGTTACTTGGGCAACTCTGCAGGGAGGGTCTCTCACAGCCCTGCTCTGCCCCCAGGACAATGCAGCACCTCCTGCCAGGCTGGTAGCATGAGCTGCCCACCCCAATCCAGAGATTACCTGACAGCCCATCCCTCACTACAGCTGCTCCACACAAAGCCACCACTGTGTTCAGCAACAGAGCACAGGGCAGCTTCTAAAAGCATGAGCTAGGCAGTAAGAGATAAGTGACACTAAGAGCCACTAACCATAATCAATGCTGCAACTCAGATATTCATTCCTAACCTTGGCCCTACTCTCATCCTGTCCCACTGGACTGTCTCCTTATAGCCATCCATCTGCAAGGCCCATCACACCCCTGAGGGTCTCCACTGGCAGCAAGCAGCTATTTAGCAAAAAACCAAGAAAGCTTCAGGCCCTGCAGGGCTCTGAGATATCCCTTCTCCTAGGATGGACACTGCAAGTAAAACAGGCACAGAAGAGAACAGGGGTTTGCAGGGAGGACATTCCTCCCATGATGGTCTTGAGGCTGTGAAGAGATTTACCTGAGTGTACTCAGTGCAGCCAGACAAGTTGGACACGAAGCTGCAAACATCCTCCACCGTCCATTTGCTGATGTCTTCCAGCGCTGGGCTTTCCTCGCCATCCAGAAACAGACCTCCCATGGTGCCTGGATTGTTTGGAGTTGGGGGGGGGGGGAGGGAGAAAGGAGGGGGAGGAGAAAGAAACATAAATCATTAAAATCCCACATGGACAACAACTAGCCTGCAATCTGAATATTTTTCTCTAGCCACACATTCATCTTTAATGACCTGTCAATTAAAGCACTGGGCAGGGTCAATTCATAGGCCTCTTCCTCCTGGAGGTCCCCAGCTTAGAAAGGGGGGGCAGGGGAGAAGAAAAATCCGAGCTAATGCATTTCATGTGTTTAATGTTCTTCAGCTGCAGGGAAGAAATAGGGGGAGGGGAGAGAAAAGAAGAAACCCTGAAGGAGTGTTTCTCCACATGCACCGCAAAGCGAAAAACTCTGCCTGCCCTGTGGGTTTCTTTCCCCCAACCCTTCTCCTGGCTACGTGCTCCGAATGATAAGGGGCCCCAGCAGCTCTCCCTGGTGGCCTCTGCCTTGCTGGAGCATGAATCACTGGAGAACATCTTGCTCTTTTTCAAAGTGTTCATTTTCAATCCACCCCAGCCTGAAAATATCCACCGGATGGGTCTGGTCCAGCAGAGCCACCACCTCGGAGAGCGCTGCCCTTGCTCTGCTGCAGGAGCACCTCTGCCTGCCCCGTGTGCAGGGTGAGAGGGCAACCCCTGCCAGCCCCTGCCACACTCTGCAGACAGACAGACAGCACAGCTCTGCAGACAGACAGCACAGCTCAGCTCAGCTCCAGTCCGTATGTCAATTCTCCGCAATGCAACAGCAGTTCAGGTCCCAGCCCTGTCAGGAGAGATGAAGGTGATGGGCTCCAAAAGGGCAGAGGAGCCCCCCTGGGGCTGGTGCCTGACAGCACAGGACATGCACATGGGGAGAGAACCCAACTGGAGCCCAGGGAGGAGCTGGAGGAGAGGCACTGAGAATCAGAAATGGCAAGAGAAATGCCAGCCAGGTAACTCGTAGCTACTCCAGCATGTAAAAGGAAAAAACACAGAAACAAGTTATGAAAAAGCTTAATTCCAGAAAATGCCACTTCAGGAAAAACAAAGCATTATTAGCATTGGTAACCTGTGGAACTCTCTGCTGCATGACAGCACAGAGACCAAGAGCTCAAGAGGACATTTACAGGGACATGAACACCCGTGATTATAGAGGGTAGAGAAACAGTTTATGAGGGGTATAAACCATTATGCATTGGGGCACGAAGCAATGAATCACCAGGAAAAAATATTTATCCCAGGGGTCTATCATGACAAAATCATCTGTTCTGTGGGCTTGAGGCTTTTCTCTGAGGCACCTGATCAGCACCACTGAGGCAACCCCTTGCTGTGATTTCTCTGCTCCCATCCACAGCAGGTCAGGTAGCACTTCTGCAAGTAATGACAAGATCAAGTGGGACACAACAAAATCACGGTGGGAAGGACAAGCCCAGAGGAGGAGTGGCCAGTTCCCTGGGGAACGAGCCAGGCCAGAGGCACAGAACAAGTGAACAGCAAAGCCACACACTGAGTCTCCACTAACTAGTTGGCAAAGCCACTAGCACAGTCCAAGGTTACAGGAAAAGGACAGGATTTACAGAGGAAGTTATCATGCCAATAAGATGCTTTTAAAACAACAGCTATCTGCACAAGCAGCAGTCAGACACTATGTAATCATTTCCACTACATTTCCGCTCCCAACTTCCCGCTTCCCTTCCCAGCCTCACCCTGTGCTTAGGGCCACAGGCAGCACTGCCCATCTGCAGCCCACACACCCTCTGGGCTGTTCATGTCCATGTCCCCGTGCAGCAGCTGGACCAGACCCACTGGCCTCCCACTGCATGAGGCCATGGCTTTCCTGGCACACACCAGCCACTGCAAACAGACCAGTGCCAGCTCCAGATGCAGAGCATCTTGGCTGGAGCTGTGGTGACAGAGACAGGAGCCCTCCAATGCCTGCTGCCCCTGCCAGCTCTACCTGTCCTTCCAGAGTAGGGACATGGCTGACCCTCCCTCCCTCTCTCCATGCCTCATGGACTTGGGCAAACCTTTGCATGTCCCTTTGCCAGCGCTTCTTACCAGCCCAAGATCCTCAGGGCTCTCACTATGGGCAACAACCAGACTTTCCTCACCCCCTTCATATCCCTGGTGATACCTTTCCTTCTTGCCAGCACAGTGTGCAAGTACCAGGTTTGCAAGGTGCTCTGCTGTCTGCTCCCCAGGACAGCCCTGCCTGGCATGGAGAGCTTGTCCCCTGCCTCACCACCCCATGCCCTGCTGGAGGCCAGGCAACTCACTCTCCTCACACCCCTGCTTCTTCCAGCTAGAAAACGCTTAAAATACTTTTGTGCGCCTGATAAAAGCTGCAGAGAAAACAACCAGCTTTGCTGTGAGCTGGGCGCCTGTCGGCGTGGGAGATGGAGACAGAGGCCACTGCCAAGGAGCCAGCCATCACTTCCCTTCCCCTCACCACCCCCAGCTACCAGACAGACAGATGGACACGAGCCCATCATTCTCATTCCGGCTGCGTTCCATTTTCCAGGAGACAAACTCCCAGCTGCTTACGTTAAAATTCACAAAACCCCCAAGTGGCTGAAGGCTTTTTTTCCCTTTTTTTTTTTTTTTTCCGGCTGTTTCAGGGAAGGGTTTTTCTTTCTTGGGGTGGGGGGGTAATTCTCTTTCTCCTTGTTGGAAGAGTGGCTTGGTAAATAGAGGAAGTTAAATTGAACTCAATTATTCCAGGCACAGTCAATGCTCGGGCGAGACACCTCCATCTGCAGCCAGAGCAAGCGTCTCTGAGGGGATCTGACTGTAACAGCCAACTGCTTTAAAATTAGGTACTTCCTTATTCCAAAAGCAAGCCAAAGATTGAACTGCAGCAACACAGTGCTTGGAAATGAATTCTCCAGTCACCAGCCAGCCAAACCCATCCTGAGGGTTTAACCTCAGCTTGCACAGGGAGAGGCTGGTCAGGCCCTGCCAGCCAGGGCTGCTCACCAGGTCCCCAACCAGGGTGGGCAGGGATTTAGCCCTGATGCTGCATTCCCAGCTGGCTGGGATGAAGGGAAAGGTGTAAGGCTTCCCTGTGGTCCCCTCCTGCACACGTGCCTGCAATCCTGGAAGCACACAGGGTGCAGGATCATTTGCAGTGTTACTGACACTGCCAGCAGAGCTGGGCTAGCAACTGCTTCTTCTCCAGCTTTTCTCCTCTGTGGTTTTCTTTCTTTTGTCTCTTCGTGCCCCCAGAAGAAAAGGGAGAGGTCAGGATGCAGACAGACACACACACAGTAAGCCTGCTGTGTCCAAGAGAGAAGGCAAGGCAGACCCTCTGTATGGGAACAGGAAATATTTTCCATGCACCCACACACAGAGAAATCTAATACGGCCAAAATATTTATCTCTGAGAGTTTGTTTTCCCTTCCCATTTGTATCGGGGAAAGGGGGACCGACTGGTGGAAGTATTTTTGGGAGGGGGAAGGTAAATACCAATAGTTTGGGTTCTTGCCTATGAGCAATTTCTGTGCCACAGAACTTAGAAGCTAGAGGGTGGAAACCTCTAGAGGGTGAAGTCAGCAGCAAACACCCCTGTTCCCTGCAGAAATGCCCAAGACCTCAGGGTAACTGCAGAAGAGCTCAGCACTAGAAGCTCCAAAGACTCAGTCACTTTTCTATGGGCTGAGCACCCTGTGTTGTGGAGCCTGGTGTTCAGGTGTTTCCCCCTGTGCTTTTGCTCCCACCCCAGATCTGTCACCAGTCTGAAGTCACCAGATGTAAAAAGAGCCCAAGGAAGGACTTCTTTCTTCCAGGCTTCCTTCTTCCAAGGAAGGAAGGAGGACACAGCAGCTGAATGCAGTGGTTCCTCTGGCCTCAGCGTGTATCTAACTGGCAATTAGGGCAGGACCAGCCCTCAGCACACTGCACCCACTCACTGGCCCTTTCCAATTTTAAATTCCCTAGAATAGAAGGGCTCCTGTCCTTCCTCCCACCCCTCCTCGGGAAGATCCTGCACTGTCTGCTCCATCTCTGTGCATGGCTGCACCCACTCCCCCCTGCTCTGGCAGTTGGGAGAATGATAACAAATAGGTGCCAAGTGGCTGGAAGGGATGCACCTTCTATTATAATAATGACTTGTCACTGGATCCTGCTGGACTGCGAGGATGCATAAAGGGCAGCCTCCTCTGTCTTGCTCTATGATAAATGATGGTCCAAGACTGGTAATGGATTACAGAGTATTTCACCAGATGGGGCCCAGCATGGAGAGACTGAAAAGAATCCATCGTCCCAGGCCAGCATCCTGTGGACAGGTGTCCACGTAAAAGCCCTCACCAACCCCTGCCACACTCCATTTATAATTTTCTTCCCTCCTCCTGATACCCAGCTGCTTCACAAGAGAAGCCAAAGGCCAAATGGGCCAGGGAGAGGAACCCTTCTGGCCATTCCAGTAAGAGAAACCGCTGCTGCAAACTCAGGCTGCAACAGGGCTGTCTCTGCTGCACGGAGACACAGGAGTTTTTGCTCCTGGCATCACAAGAGACAATTCAGGTGCCAACTGGGAGACCAGTGCACAAAACCAATCCACTTGGAAGCCATCCCACCTGCAGGTTTAATCTCTAACCCCTCTCCCCATTCTTCCCCATGCATGTACCCCCTCCTTCCCACACACAGCAAGGGTCACAGAGCAGCAATGCAAGGCCTGTGTTAATTGCTCTCCAGACTACAGATCAATAGAAGGATTTTAGCCTCCTGCACGCTCCATCCTTCACCTTTTCCAAAGGACGGGGCTGGAGGAGGGGAGCCAGGCTGCTGAAACCTTGACGAGATGAGGTCATCGAGCAGCCGCCAGAGCCCCAGAAGGCAGCTCAGAGAATCGACCCAGCTCTGGCTGCCTCATCGATATTCTTCCCAGCAGGGACAAAAAACAGCTCTCTGCCTCCAAAGGAGGAGCTTTCCCCTCACTGGGAACCAGAGGAGCCGCCTGAAACTCAGTGGTCATTCTTAGGCAGCTCCATTTCCCCTCTCCTCCCTCTGGCTCTTCTTTTTGACCTGCCACGTTACATGCCTTGTTCAGGTGGTTATTTTTATCATACCAGCCTCCAGTGTACAACACAACATCACAACCACCTTGGCCAGAAGAGAAGTCCTTGCACAAAAAAGGATTATGGAAATTATCTGGCACAGATGGAGAAGTGGGTGTAGTTCTGTCTGTCTGTCTTCAGGTGGTTCATGTTCCCCAGGGGCCAAAAGCAACACATTTTTCATTGACACACATTACCCCAGCACAGCCCATGACCCCGCAGCATCTGGATCGATACAGCCCTCAGTATTTCATGAATTCCCAGCCACCCTATCGACCTGCTGTGCTGCACTGAGAAAGATGCTGTGCCTTCCCAAGCCTGTTCCAGGTAAGAGCTTTTGCTATGGAGCCCCTACCATAACAGGGACTACACTCGGTGTTGCTGTCCTGCAAACAGGTGATATTAACAGCCAGGAAAACATGTGAAGCAAAAGAGCCCTCAGAAAAAGACCTACAGCTCTGGAACAGGCTCCACAAATCAGAATTGCCTGGAAACTGGGCAGTGAAACACATCCCTGATCTTTGCCGAGGCCTCAAGACACGATCATGATATAAATTCGAAGTGATAATAATAAATGGCCTATTACAGTAACTCACACACTGCTGGGGGAGGGAGGAAACCCATCTACAATCCAGGCCTCCCTGCAGAGCCTCACACAAGCAATGAGCACCACGGAGCCGTGCCTTTCTCGTTTTTAATGGCCAGGAGAAAAAGGCTCCTGTGAGGAAGCCTCGGCAGCCCAAGGCAGCAGGAA